GGGAGGGGGAGGAAGGAAGGGGCTCTGCAAGGAGCAGGGTCTGGAGGGGAGTTGTGCCCTTGAGTGGGGCAGGCTGTCTCGTGCCCATAGCGTGCCAGAGGCGGGCTCTCCGCTCCCAGCCAGCAGGAGCCTCAGGCAGGCGAGCTGTTCCATGGGTCACTGCGGGGAGGGGGTGACTTTGTGCGTTGCCCCCAACCCCATACAAATATTTCAGCTCCCATTGGCTGGTTTCCGGCCAATAGGAGCTGAGAGATTGTGCTGTGGGTGGGGCAATGCACGAAGCCTCAGCCTGCAGTGCAGAGAGCTACAGTGAGCAATCAGCACTTTGAGTGGCATGAAGCTGCTTTGTGTCAATCATTCCAGTGGGACGGGCCATAGGCCATATTAAAAGGCTTGGCTAGCCATAGCTTGCATACCCCTGTGATGGGCACTTTCCAATCTCTGAGCATCTCCCTGGAGACTCCAGCCCCTCTTCCACTGGACAATAGCATTCACAGATTTGCTGCTCCCAAAGAAGAAGTACAGTTCAGCTTACCCGTTACACCTGGGCTCAGGGCTTAGTTTAACACACTAACTTACATATGTTTATAGTGAAAATAGGCAAAAGTTTTCTTAAAAGAGAGATGAGATTCAAATGAGAGTACGCAGAAAATATTGGAAACAAATGGTTATATACAGGGTGGATAAAAATCAATTATTTTTTTTAATTACATTTTTTTTAATTAAAATCAATAAAATACTAATAATACTGTTATTAAAAATAACCATTACAAGTACATCTCATCACAAACAGGCAACACCTACACTTACAGTCTCATAAAAATGAATTAATGGTTGTAGTCTGACTAGCCTAAATACCAGCTCTTGCTTCTTGAAAGGTCTGGACTTTCACTTTCAGGTTTCTCAGCAGACTAAAATCACGTGCAAAGGAGGACATAAATTGGATAGGATTGGTTTGTTTTGTGCTTATGTAGTAGTGAACCTGGGCCAAGCACGATAGAGGAATGAGTTAAGACATTGTCTAAAAGACAGACACACAATATATAGGAAGGGACAGAGGCTGCATTGAAAGGAACAGTGGAATGGACTGGAAAGCAAAAAGGAAAACATTCAGCATGTACATGGCTTCCTATAGTCCCTCACACTTTTACCACAGAAAAACTGTTATGGCTTCTGACCATAAGAGAGACCCTCTCTAGGAATATTTTGAAGAAATTAATTTACTGGGTAAAAAAGGAAAATGTGTCAAGTGTAAGCAGTGCAAGATGATGATACAGGGCCTGTTTGCAAGAATGAAATATCATAAGGAAAACCACTTATTGGGGAAAAATTATGTGCATATGTCTGAAGAACAGTGTGGACCAACTTTGCAATGCATCATTCTTCAAGACACTCTCTATGCCTTTTCATATAAGTGTGATTTAACAGGTAAATTCCCAAACAAATTGCTATGTTGGCTGTTGCCAGAAAAAAAGAGTTTAGCTTAGTTAGTGTTTATGGCTTTTTTAATTACTTAACTAGATTTAGAATCTATCACCCAAGTATATGGTACAGAATGCTGCATTATGAGAAATCGAGAGTTGCCAGTGAGTGTAATTTTATTATTTTATATTAAATAATACATCTCTCTTATTTTGGAACATCTTTGCTATAAACCCTGCTCCCGAGTAACCCAAAGAGGAAAAAGGGGGTTACATTGGCATCACAGAAACCTGGTAGAATGAGGACAATCAGTGGGACACAATCACACAATCATATATCAGAAGGACAGAATAGGTCATGCGGGTGGCAGAGTGGCACTATATGTGAAAGATAATGTAGAATCAAATGAAATAAAAATCTTAAATGAATCAACATGTTCCATAGAATCACTATGAATAGTAATTCCGTGCTCTAATAAGAATATAACAGTAGGGATACATTATCGACCACCTGATCAAGACAGTGATAGTGACTATGAAATGCTAAGGGAGATTAGAGAAGCTATCAAATTAAACTTGATAATAGTGGGGGATTTCAACTATCCCCATATTGATTGGGTACACATCACCTCAAGACAGCATGCGGAGATCAAATTCCTTGATACCTTAAATGACTGCTTTTTGGAGCAGCTGGTTCTGGAATCCACAAGGGGAGAGGCTATTCTTGATTTAGTCCTAAGTGGAGAGTAGGATCTGGTTAAAGAGGTAAATATAACTGGACCACTTAGAAATAGTGACCATAATGTAATACAATTTAACATCCCTGTAGTGGGAAAAACACCTCAGCAGCCCAACACTGTGGCATTTAATTCAGAAAGGGGAACTACACAAAAATGAGGAAATTACAGTAGTTAAACAGAAATTAAAATGTACAGTGACGGAAGTAAAATCTCTGCAAGCTGCATGGAAACTTTTCAAAGACACCATAATAGAAGCCCAACTTAAATGTATACCCCAAATTCAAAAATACAGGAAAAGAATGAAAAAAAGTGCTACCATGGCTTAACAACAAGGTAAAAGAAGCAGTGACAGATAAAAAGATATCTTTTAAAAAGTGGAAGTCAAATCCTAGTGAGGAAAATAGAAAGGAGCATAAACTTTGTCAAATTAAGTGTAAAAATATAATAAGAAAAGCCAAAAAGGAGGTTGAAGAAAAGCTAGCCAAAAACTAAAAAAGAAATAGCAAATTTTTTTTAAGTACATTAGAAGCAAGAAGCTGGCTAAAC